TTTGTTACAGACCACCAAATGATACTGATGAAATTAGTGAGAAACTTTACAGTGAGATTAATATTTCAGCTGTTAATTAGGTTAAAATTGTGGGTAAGTTTAGTTTCAGGCTTATAGATTGGGAAATGCTAGAGTCAAACTGTGAGGGAGAAATGTTTTTGGAACTGTTCAAGATGGCTTTCTTTACCAATTAGTCAACGAACCTACTAGAAACAATGCTATTTTAGATTTATTGTTAACTTCAAATATAGAAATGATTGAGAGGGTGAAAATTGGAGAACATCTGAGTGCAAGTGATAATTTCCATATTAGATTCAATGTTTTGCTGCATATGGAGATAAGGAATAATAACATTTTGATTACAAATTTCAAAAACAAATTTCAAAGGGATGCGACAAAAATTATCTGTTGTGAATTTGGAAGCTGAGTTATTTGGAGACACTGATCAGATTGGAAAATGTTTAAACATTGAAGGTAAACATATTCCTTATAGAAATAAAAGGATAGCTGCAAGTAAAAAAACAGGTTAGCTCACAAAGAGTATAAGAGATAAAATTAAAGAAAAGCATCATAAATTTAAGAAATTTAAATCCACTAGTATGACATGAGATTTATAAGATTATAGAAGGTCAAGAAAGTTGGTGAAACAGAAAATTAGGACATCAAAAAGGATATATGAGAAAAGGTTGTCTGAAAATGTAAAAATTAACAGTAAGGATTTCTTTAAATACATTTAGGGTAAACAAAATGTTAGAATGGGGTAGGACACTTGAGGGATGATAAATGAAGGCTCGTATCTGATGATTATGAGATGGATGTATTATTAAATTTTGCTTTTTCTTATTAAATTTTTTACTAATGAAGATTTAAACAGTATTCCACATCTTGAACGGTTGTTAGATGTAAACGAAATCGAACAAGATGACTGCATTAATTCTGAACTGATTAAGACAAAATTGAGAATTATATAGAATGATAAAGCTCCTGGGCTAGATAATATTTCCCCAAGGGTTTTGAAGGAGGTTAAAGATTGGATATGTGAGCCACTTACTACTATTTTTTTTCAGTCCTTGAATAGTGACCAGGTACCAGAGGATTGGAAGTTAGCTAATGTAACTCATCTTTTCAAGGGAGGTGATAAATTTGTCCAAGTATTTATAGACCCATTAGTTGTGGGAAAAGGTTTGGAAAGTCTGTTAAAAGATGCTTTGCAAAGTCATTTAATAAAGTTTAGAATTTTGTTGGATAGTCAACATGGTTTCACTAAGGGAAAATCTTACCATACAAATTTTTTGACATTCTTTGAAAACGTTACTGCTTATGTAGATTAAAGAAAAGCAGGTAGGATGTAGATTTGGTATATCTGGATTTTCAAAAAGCACTTGACAAGGTGCCACATAAAAAACTTGTAAACATGTCTCTACAGGTGTGGGATATAAGTTAGGAAATTTGATAGAAGAATGAGTGGATGGAAAAAAGCAGAGGGTTGTTACAAATGGAGTTCAGCCAAACTGGATTAATGTCACAAGTGGAGGTACCACAGGGCTCAAGTATTAGGACATTTGCTTTTTTTTTGATTTACATTAATGACATAGATGATGAAATTGTCAATAAATTATAGAGGATATTAAGGTCTAGGGCGTTGCTAGCTGTGAAGAGGATGCTGCTGATTTACAAAAGGATTTAGATCATTTAGTGAGTTGGGCAAATGAATGACAAATCGATTTTAATTATAATAAATGCAAGATAATGCATATGGGTTATCATAATTTGAATTATAAGTATAATTTGAATGGGAATAACCTTAATAGTGTCATGAAAGAAAGGGAGCTTGGAGTAATAGTCGATGTAATGCTATCCAGGCAATGTTCTGTTGCTAGTGATAAGACAAATAAGATTTTAGATTATATATTTAGAAATATTGAATACACGTCCTAAAGAGGTTATAATTTCATTGTAGAGGTCACTGGTTACCCCAAATTTGGAGTATTGTGTTCAGTTTTGGGCTCTTTACCTCAGGAAGGACACTGAACTGCTGGAAATGGTTCAGACAAGGGTTACTAGAATGGTGCCTGGGATAGAGGTGGTCGTCATACGAGGAGAGGTTGGAATCTCTCAGATTGTTTTATCTTGGAAAAGAAGAGCTAGAGGGGGTATGATTGATGTGTTTAAGATTGTAAAGGGAATTTATAGTGTTGATGCATCATTTGTTTTTCATACCCAATAGTGAGAATATTAGGACTGGGGGACACAAATATAAATTTTGGCAGTATAGAATCATCTTCAGCTAAGACTGATTTATTTTTCTAACAGAGTGTTTGGCCTTTGAAATTTGTTGCCTTCGGATGTTGTGGAAGCAGTAAATTTAAGCGAGTTTAAGAGAAAGCTTGATAAGTATATGAATGATAAGGGCTGGCTTTAATATTTTGTAAAAATCTATTTATTAATATTTTTAGTTTAGTTTAGAAGATGGAACAGCTGAGTTGGACCAATAGGTCCCATGTTGTTCCAAAACGTTATGTTATGTTATAACGTATATGTATGGGATCAGCTTTTACAGTGTAAATCAAGAGACTAAACGATTATGTGTCACATGTGCTTATATGCAAACACAAATTTAGAGTTTTAATGAAAATTATCAAAAACATTTAGTTTATCTCCTATATTAAGTTTAGATCAGAATCCTTGCAATTTTTTTGAAATGTAAAGGGGGCAAATGTCTTCTCTTGCCCCTTCCTGCGGGCGCCCATATATCTATATACTTTATATTGTACATTAGCCTGTACCTTTATCTTTTCTATTAGTCCACTTAATTCTTCCTTCAGTGGCGTTAAATCTTCCTTCTCCTTGGATTCCTACAAATCAGTTGCAAATAGTATATTGAATATAAGAAAATTCAACAAATCATCGCTCGGTAACATAGAACAATTAAATACTTTCAATTTGACCATTTTTAAACACATATATTTAAACTCTTTCACTGGAAGATTGAGACTGACCAACTTTCAAGTAGATCTAGCACACAGATTTCCTTCACTTACAGGTTGTTTCTTTACACATTTTAAGCGATTCTTGCTTTTTATGCAAAATATAGGCTAATTTAATTAGCTTCCATTATTTAGAAATTACTAATATATGCAATCAGGTTCAAATAATTCAGAATTACTTAGCAGTACATTTTTCTGTTCGATTCTTCTGTTATTCTGCGTGACTTATCAGTTTTTCCTGAGAATACTACACCGTGAGATTGATAAAAGGAGACCGCTATGGTTGATTACATTTCCTCCAAGATATTAGAACATGCTAAGCTTAATTTCCTCCAAGATATTAGAACATGCTAAGCTTCCAGTACCTAAATCGCTTAAATTACTTATTAGTTAGTAAGATAAATTATAGGATAGCCTGGGTATTAACAATCACTTCTAAAATCTTCGAAATAATTCTCAATAATTAAGTATTTTGAAAATATTTTCCTCCCTTTTTAATTGCTTAATACTACGATGCACAGGTACCAAGTATGCTTCTGCTATATGCTTATGAACTTGTTCAAGGCCTTCGCATACACCCACAGTATTCTTCTACTGAACGCACTCCTAGCGTATGACCTCCTTAAAACTTATTTCTAGTTATTTATTCGGTAAAAAAACAAGCTGTCAAGTGAAGTATATATGCAAGTCATTGGCTCAAATTATATAGAGATGTCCCCAGAGATCTATTTTAAGTCTTCTCCTGCTTGACATTTTTCAAAACGACTTTCATATTTCATAAACGAGTCTACACTATACAACTACGCTGAGATAAGAGGTTTACTCTGTCATATATGCAAAGTACGTTTGATAACGTTGAGATTGTACTTGAACAGATAATTGTTAAATTGATAAATTGATTTTTGGACAAAGATATGAAACAAGCTCAGATAAGCTTAAATTTGAAACTACTTCGGTAAAAACAAATTTCGTAATGAGTAGAGGACGAAAACGTCGGCGAATGCCTAATAATTAACAACTGTGTCCTGAATTACTTTTATCCATGAAACATTAATTTGTTTGGTAAACAGGTGTTCGGCTTTGGGCCCTGCATAGTGTTAGTCATTACTTCTTTATCAACTTTTCTTTGTTATGTTATTTAACGTGAATAATATAGGTTCATATTACAACTTACAAAATAATGATCC